CTGTACGATTAATGATTAAATTTCTTTAAAATATAAAAAAATAAAAATAATTATTGTTCATAGTGATACATAAACTGGGAACTTTTACAACCCAGCGCACATGTGCAGAGGGATATACAAAACCTAGTTTGTAAAACGTTTGTTAGTATAGATCTTAATGAAATTGCACGCCAAATTGCTTAGATTGATGAGGAAACCCGACTTAGCCATACCCGATTAACTGGCTTTGTGTGCACAGGAAAATTCCAGCATAAATTAATTAATCACCAAACCTACTTAATCAAATTAAGGGTTAATGATTAAAAATAAATTTTTTTTAATCGCGGTTACGATTAACTCTTTAATCAGATTAAAATTAATAATGATTAACTGTAATCGGATTGAATTTAATCGAATTAACTAATTGATTAAAAAATCAATCGATTAGTGCCAACACTGCATAATAGCCATAATAATAGATCGGTGCTTACACATATATTAGTGTTTGGCCGAGCTTCTCCTCCGTTTTTCGTGTCAGAAATACACTCGTAGGTTTGTCATTACCTGCCGAGGGGCGACCACAGTTAAGAAAAAACCTTTTCTCAATATTTTTTTGCGGTGTTGCTTTGACCAGGGCCCTGCGGAGGGGAAAATGAAAAACAGCTTCTCATAAAAATACAATCGCCGTTCGGAGTCGGCGTAAAACTGTAGATCCGTCCCCTTTGTGTGACAACATCAAAGCGCACGCCAGTCGAAGAAGAAGCTCGGCCTAACACTAACATATCGCACACCGTCTTCAAAAGAGTCACAACTCAAAATAACACGTTTGTCAGAAAATGCGAAAAACTATTTCTTAGCACATGATATTCACATGGACAAGGGCGACTTTTCCTTAAGTTTTTGTAACAAATTATAGCAAAAATTTGCTCCAACTTTTGCTGAAAGGTAAATAAAAGCTCTGCGTACATCTTTAGCGCATAATCTCAAAAATGCCAAATTTTGAGTTGTGACCGTTTTGAAGACGATGTGCGATATAATTATTATTATTTCATTCTTTTTTACCGCGTTTTCTTTATTGTATTTTCGGGTTGCAGTTGAAAGTGTTTTTACACAAAAGTGAAAAATTTCACAAAAGTCGATATTGAACAGTGTAATACATATATAAGAAAAATTCTACTATTTTTCGGTGGAATTGAGAGCCGAAACAAATTTTAAGTTATTCTTAGCTAAGGATATTCAAGGATATACTTTTAAAAGGACATTATCAATACTTATTCGTCCTTGGGAACCAAAAAAGTTGTTGTTTTTTATTTAACAGAATTTTTACTTCGATTGGTACCGATGTTGATATTTTTTTAAATTTGATGTTGATATATTTTTAAATTATTCACATCGTTGCAATTTCAATGAGAGATACATACGTACATATGTATCCAATAGTTTTTCTATCATCTTGAGGCAGAAAAAATAAGGCTTATCGGTCGAAAGTTACTTAGCTTTACACACACAGTTAGTAGATTTATTGTAGTAGTGTTACAAGTGTGGTGAATGTTAAATTACGAGTAGGGAAAATCACAGTAAAGTTAAACTTGAGAAAAAATTGCACTTAAAAATAAATAAACGAGAATGGGCGATGGATTGAGGTATAGAGTACACATTTGTGGGTGTGGAAGTAGAGTAATGACGAAGGAAAGATACATACATACATACATGCATATATTAAAGGCAAGAATATTACCAGGAAAAGCAGCAGCGGCAATGAGTTTAGTTAAAAAGAATAAAAGTAAAGTACTTAAAGTAGTTGCACCACCAAGGACTTAAGTATTGCACAGCCGAGTGGCGCGACAGGATGTCTATGAAGCTACTTGGCTCTTGCATTTACCAACCATAAGACGAGTGTACATACATATGTATTTACTTTTGCTTGCTGCACAAGTCTTACACACTTGCTCACATACTGTTTTACAAGTAGATAAGATATATAAGATCGTTTGGATGCTGTGACGGAAGCTTTGTCTGATTAGTCCTTCAAGATTATTTGCTCTAACTCGAGTGCATGACAATCAGTACGCAAGCAAATACATATGTATATAAGAGTAGAAGAGAAGGTCACATGGACAGATGGACAGAAATATGAAGAAAAAGTGTGCAGAAGATTTTCAACGAAATAAGTGGATTGTCGCCTGCTGACTTGTTTTTTTTTTCGTTTATAACATTGACGTAAATATCGGACGTAAATGTATGCATGCACCAATGACTTCGATGCATTTTAGTAAGCAAATACATACGCACAAGTCGATACGTACATAGCTAGAAATGAGTGACTTGCCGCGCTGGAGTAGATACTTGGATATATGTTGTACTTAGTGGTTGACTAGCAACTTTTTAGGAAACACGAACATGAACAGGACCAAGGAAATGAACACGCATACCTCTGTTACATGCACTTACATATGTACATACATACATACATACTTAGTAGCGTGTGCTATTTATTCCACAGTGGCAACATATCATATGTTGCACAAATATTGCGTGCATACCGAATTGCAACGGTGCTTACTTACTATTGACTTCACTGGCATTGTTTGCGTAAAAAAACGTAAAAAGCATTTTTGTTTTTTTCATTTTTCCAATTATTATTTTTTTTCTCTGCTGTCACACTGAAATACCCTTTGAAATTGTTAAATCCGCAACAACTGCTACTGCAAGTGAACAAGGGGAGAATAATCTCTAGAAAAGTAAGTAATCAGCAAACAAACAAGTGCAGCCACAAAAAAAAAACAAAGTATTATATACATTGCAAAAAAACATTGTGGCACCGGTTGTGGCACGAACAACAAGGGCTACAGTTTAAGGACCGTAAGCCAAAAAAGGATTTCTTGAATTGTGCAGTAACAGTAGTAGTAAGAGCCAAACACATGCAGTTGACGTGACTGCGCAACATAAAAAAAAAAAAAAAAAAAAAAAAAAAAATGATATAATCCACAGGGAAAAACTTATAAAACGCAACTGCTTTTGCTACAAGAAATTTTTACAAATTGTAAGAAAGGGTAAACGTATATACATACATATATTTTCATTTTGTTATATCGAAATTTAAAGCGATGAATTTAATTATTTTTAGAAGCTTTTATGCAACTTGCTTTGTACGTACGTACATATGTAAGTATGTAGCTCAGAATTCAGTAAAAATGCAATATGAAATATGAATTAATCCGATAGGTGGCGCAGGAGTTGATATATCTGGAAACCCGTATTTCTGGTCCGATTTGGTTCATATGCGAAAGAAAATAACTTTACAAACAATTTAGCCGGTAGGTGGCTTGAGTTATATTTAGAATATACAGGATGTACTAGACCATCCGCCCACCCCCTCTAAAACGGAGCAAAATGTTAGTTATTGAAAAACACAAACATATTATCTACCAAATCAGAGATGCTCTATCCATTGGTGGTGACTTCCGGTTTCCACTGGAAGTAGATTAAACTGACCGGAAGACCATGTTTTTAAATTAAACATACATGTTTTTGCTACTGATTCAGAGTCTGAGGAGATACGTAACTTTTGTTTAAAACTTTTTTTCCGGAAGTGTCTAATGACCTTCAAACTTCAACTCGTCCTGGGCTTCTAAAGCGCATCCCGACATAGTAATTCAACCTTTTTCGTTTTCCAATAAAAAAAATTCACTTATTTAAGCAGTCCAGGACGATTTGCAGCTTGAAGGTAATTTAAAGGTTGAAAAAGACACTTTCAAGAAAACAGTTTCAAACAAAAGTTACTTATTTTTATCATCAGAATCCGAATCTGTAGTAAGAACATGTTTGCCTAAAAAAATAGACTTTTGGTCAGTCTAACCCACTTCTGGTCGAACCCGGAAGCCGGTTAGATCTCCAAAAGATAGAGCATTCTTGATTTGGCTGGTCATATTTTTGCGTTTTTCAATAAAAAAAACATTTCCCTTCATTTTAGAGGGGGTGGACGGGAGCTCAAGGACACCTTGTATTTTACTCATAAGAAAAGGAATAACTCCAATAAATTCCCAATGTGTGACGCAGGAATTGAGACGTCCGTCACGCTAGCTGACCCACTTCTCCAAAAACTGATCAATTTTCTCAGGAATTAGTTGCTACTTAGGTGTTATTTAGGGCCTCCAAAATTAATTTTAGAGTTCACTGGGTTTCCGAGAAAATCACGCTAGCTGACCCACCCAGTAAATTTCGTCGAACAATGGTAAATATTATTCAGGAATTTGGTGCAATTTAGGTGTTTTTAAGGGCCACCAAAATTAATTTCGGTGCACACGCGGTTTCTGAAATATTTGCAAAAAAATGTGTTATGGGTCAAACCTCACTTAAAAATGTGATTTCCAAGATAATATTACTATTGAGATCCCATACAGTTTCCAACAAGGAAACCGATGGTATTTGCATCTACACCGATGGCTCAAGGATGAAAAAAGTAGTCGGCTCGGGTCTAGTATACTTTCATTCGGGGATCTTTGCCATAGGGAAGGCGGAATAGTAAGTCTTTGTCAATGAACGTCACTATATTTTTTGACAGCCAGGCGGCATTGAAAACTTTACGTTCCAAGTAGCTCGAAAACGTCGTGCATGGCTGGTTTCACTGAGTCACGTGAAAAAATTTCTCTGCTGGGTTTCTGGACATAGAAATATCGAAGAGAACAAAATAGCCGACACGGCTCGTAAGTGCGATTTTT